AAAGACTCACGTCACTGTTAAATATTCTTTCCCATGGTTTGGAAGCACCCCTTATACATTCTGATGTAACGTAAATGACCACAATGGAGGCATGCTGTTTATTTAGACATGCTTTGGTGTTTGTATTTTTATTCCTGTAAACTGTGTTTTAATATCATCAGTCTAGTCAATAAAATGAAACAAAAGTTGGTGTCTGTGGACAGACTCTGTTAAACCTGCTATGACTTCGGACCACTGATGAGTATTTATGTAGACATGGTTTATACAATACAACTTTTAAATTTCTTTTTCTAAATTCAGACAAGCTAGAGGTTTTTGTGTTTAGACCGGTCTATTGTAGGAACAAAGCCCTGACCTATTTGTTTGTTCTGGAGGACATTTTTTTGGCCTCCACACTTACATAGTGGTAGTTTGGAGTATTATCTGGCTAGCACATGTAGATTTAGATTTCAGACAGAGTAACTTCTTTTCGACCTGTGTAACACCCCACAATTATGAAGATCCCTAAAGTAATGCAGACAAACCAGTTATTGGATCAGATCATCCAGGGCTCATTACCTACTTTTCATAGCTATGCTACATAAGTAACGAGAGGGTGGATTAGCAAAAATGTTCTTAGCATTATGTTCAGTCATTTTCAAACATCTAAACCTCCAACACATCTCATAATTTCAGAAAACCGAAATTATGAGATGCGGTGTTTTAGCAGAGTTTGCTAAAACAAACAGTGATGGCATTTGCTAAAATAACACACTAATAAGGAAAACCAGTGGAAATGTGCAGCCGTAACAGATAATCAATCAATCACAGATGTTCACCTTTAACCTCCGGGATGTGTTCATCATACTGTTGATGTCAGAATGGTTCACAGTGTTTAAGCTTCAAGACACAAACAACATCAACCAAAACCCAAAAGAATGTGCATCACAGACAAATTGTAAGCATGAGGGAAATGAGACACTGTGTGTGTTCACACATGGCTGTTATTATATTTTATGGAGATATACAGTGGCAGCCATCTTAATAACAAATGGGCTAAAGGTCCATGTTTCCCTGCACTTTGGACTGGGTCAATGCAGCTCTTGGTATTGGTCATGTAAACAGGAGAGGGTGCTGCTGCAAGAACTCAGCTAATAAAGTATAGATTATAGTGTTGAGTAAATGCTAATCTTTCTCAAATTTTCTTGAAGTTATAGATTAGCTACGTAATTTTAGCTAATGTAGCTAAAATTAGCTACACTAGCTAATTTTAGCTAATGTGGGTTCTGTTATCTTTACAAGTTCAGCTTCTGATGAGCTTTTTCACTTATTCCCTTGTAGAATTGCTTTAAATCCATCCATCCACACGTAATCATCAGTGGGATTGTGAGATTGCAAGGGGTGCTAGTCAAAGGGCAAGAGGTGGGGTCACCCTGGACAGGTCATCAGTCCGTCACATGGCAACACAGAGACAGACGGCACAAACAGTCATGCACGCACACACAAGCAAAATTTCGAGAGACCAGTCAACCAGGCAGTCTTTTTTCTGGACTGTGGGAGGAAGCCAGAGTACCCAGAGAGAACACACACATGCACGGGGAGAACATGCAAACTCCATGCAGAGAATCGAACACAGGACCTTCTTGTTGCAAGTGAAGTGCTACCAATTGCACCACAGTCCATAGACTTTAACTCAGGAGTGTCAACGCATTTTCATTTTGGGTCGTATCAAGATCACCAATGTCCTCAAAGGGCTGTTTGTGGCAGATTGTATTGATAAAACTACCCATTAAACTGTTGAAATATTAATAAATAGTGTTCTCTGCATTTGATGATTACAAAGTATAAAGTTAAATAACATTAAAGATCTTTTCTGATAGATGTAATTTGACCATATACAAATAAAAATGCATTGATTTGATTGATAAAACAATATTTAATAAAACAGGTGTTATCTTGAAGGTTATATTTATGTGGCCCTCTATAGCCTACACTGTAAACCCAAATTAGTAGTCATCACTAAAGCTGTGCATGGTAAGTGATTGCCCTGAGATGGTCTAGTTTTTAGAAAAAAACAAAACAAACAAACACATCAAGCTCCATTTCTATAAAACCCTGTGTCCAAAATAATCCATTACTAAAAAACTCAAGGTTTCAAAACTGTAATTGAGTCAACCATAACTCAGGTTTACCAGTAATTAAAACTCATGTTTTTTTAGAATTACTCAATGGAAATTATAGTCACAATCAAGTTATTTTTTCATGCAATAGTAACAATTTAAACAGTTCAGTAAAGCCTTCACCATGTTGAAGACTTTAAACATTAATACAAAACAATTAATAGGAGGGAGTTTCTGAGTCTATGAGGCCAAAAATGAGACTCAGCTTCTGGCAGGTCGTCAGTTATTCTATAACAACTTTCCCCTCAGTAACACTTTACAAGCTGGCTGGGTGAAGATCTGACATTGGGGGAGAGAAACATTCATGATTCACCAACAAGATCCCAAATGTCCATTTGGACAAAGGATTCAGAACAAATTTTCTACAATTTTGCAAGGAAATGCAAATGAAACGAACCCTTGAGGGCTCCACCGAATCAAATAAGGCAACAAGAAAAAGAAACAGTACTAGCTTAAATCCACAGCTACAGCACCAGGAGCCATTGTATTTCTACAGAACCAACTTGATCAGCAGGTGACCCATGCAGCCAACACAGTCAGAACAAACATGTATTGGGCCAGTCTTCTTCTTTTTCTTTGTGTTGGCTAACTACTACAGGGTACATTACTGCCACCTATTGACTCACCAGTCAGGTGTTCACCAACAAGCCCCTCCAAAACAGGTACAAACTTATAAATGAGAGTTAGTACTTTAAAAACTCGTTTTAAGTAGTTTAGATTTAACATTTTGTTTAGTAATAGTCCCACCTTTTTAAAATAATGAAAAGATGAATAATGAAGAGATTAGTAATAATAGCTTGACCTAAAAACCTAAAACCCATGGTGGGCTGGATTTGGACCCCAGGCCTCGAGCTTAACACATATACACACAAATACTGACGTGTGTGTGGTGTTTCCCACTAATACAGATGTGAAATGATGCCAGAAGAGTCTTATGTGATCTTACACGCTGAATGGTTGTTGGTCAGTATATCCTTTGTGAATGGGTCAATGAGAGACCGTATCTTGTCGAAATTAATGATTTGTCTTTCAACCTATATCAGGCCCATTTTTATTTACAGTTTGCTTTCTTTTCATGAGCTTTCTATCATTTGAGCTTTTGTTCACATGAACTCTAGGTGTAAACAGAATGTTCAGAATCTTATACAGCTATACGGTGAAGGTCAGCTACAGTTCTGTGCAGAGGGTCTTTATTAGGTTAAGTTAAAATCAAGAAAATGTACCTAATGATAATCATGTAGCCACTAGATAACTATAACTATAAGTCCTATAAAGTGGCTAAACTCTTCATGTTTTCTAAATAATGTGAATAGAAGGTTCTACACAGCTTCCTATTTTTCCATCCATAAAATCAGAGCTAAAGTGATTTACATCATTCAATTGTAAAAAATTCAGACTTTATGTGTATAAAGCTGATGGAGATACTTTATCCCACAGACTTGCATTTACAATCGCATTAAAAGATGGTTCTACAAAGACAGACCAAGAGGGGCTGAACGCCATTGAATGTCCCACTTTTCAGAAATATATTTGTGGAAGAAAATTAAAACCATACTTTTCCTCCTACTTCACAATTATATGCTACATTCCGTTTTAGCTATATTTTTTCCATGAAATCACAACAAAACATATTGAAGCTGTTTGACAATACTTAAAAAAATAATTTAAAGGTTATGAATACGTTTGTAAAACATGCCTGACGTTTTTTCAGGGTGTTTAGTTTTTTTCTACTAAACACTTTGTGTCAAAAATGCACCCCATAACCCCATATAATTACAACCTCTAAATGAGAGATTTTAATGTTTGCTTTTCTGGACCCAATCAGATTAGCTCCATCATAACTTTTCAAAATGGTTTATTTTGAATATTTAAAACACCTTCCAGGTTGAATTGGATGACACAGGCATTTCAGGATGACAAAATCCTGGATTATTAATGGTTTTAAGATTCTCTGCAAATTTTGGCACATGCCTCATTAGGGATGTTTATTATATTGCTTATATTAGCACTAAAGGCAGTGTTGAATTCCCTTTGCAAAGCACAATGTCCACATCCACTTCCATAGGTCAGGCATACTAAGCATGGTTCCAGTCTCCACTTGTCTGATTTCAGGCATTAGATCAGACGCAGTGAACTGAGTGCATCGCATGGAGGTTTCCATCCATCCCCGGCTTAGACATTAATGACCAGTGCTCACCCAGAGGCAGTCATGTTTATCCACAACAAAGTGGGAAAATCATTTTATGCAGCAGGGGAAAAGGACAAACAAGCTGATGACAAGCAGTTTAAACCTCAGGCTTCAAACTGCTCAGCACTACAGCTGTGACTCCAGCTCCTGTCTTTCTGAAGATCAAACTTTTTGCTGAACTGCACTGAAGCTAATTTAACCTCCATGATTAGTTCTAAAGCAGACATCTGCTGGCAGCCACTCCATGCAATATACAATCCATGTTTTCTCCCTTCTGGCTGTGTGTTTTTGGAGCTGAATCAGGTTGAGGGAGAGTGAGGGGTTACTGCAGTCCAGCAGCTGAACAAACACGGCCAGCCTGATATTGCACTAACCCCACAGAGTGCCATCTCTGCTGGCAATGGGCCTGCGCACAGTGGAGGTGCGATTATGCATATCTCTGTGACACAAAAGCTCTCACTGAGGGAGTTTCTCAAAACACAAATGATACAAACAAACAACATCTGCTGGGTTTAAGCAGAACATGCACAGGTGCGGAGATGATCGGTCACTTTGACACTGAGGTGAGGGATTGAAGAAGCCTGTTTCTGTTTCAGTTTCTGATTGCAAACATTCAATCAGAAACTGGCTCTAAAATAAAAGCGTCGTCTTACCTTGTTCTGTGAGGACGCGTCCTTACACAACACCAGCAGACAGGCCAACAAGTTGGTGAGTCTCCACATTTTCTCAGGGCGACTAAACATGAAGTGCAGAAATCCAGAGCGGAAGTCGTAGCGATCAGTCCCAGGGCTGGAGCGGTGCGTCTATCTGAACTCCATCTCCGCTTCATGCAGGTGAGGGGCTTCAGGAACGCACAGCGCGGATCTCTGCGTGCCACTGGGACGCGCTCTGAGGTCTGCCTTCATCCGAGCGCACCATCCATCATCCGGTGTCCTCCACAGATGGGAGGGCTCTGACACACACACACACACACACACACACACACACACACACACACACACACACACACACACACACACACACACACACACACACACACACCCATGCGCGCGGGCATCAACACGCATTCACACCGTGCGCTCAGAGTACGCGCAACAAGCAAAGTTAGGCACTCAAGACAAAACGGTGTTAATGTGGTTTGAATTAGTTAGGGTTATGTAGGCAATACATACAATGCCGCGCTGTTGCCACAGCTAATTAATTTATTATTGATAACGTTTTTTAAAAAATCCTGATGCCTTCAGACTCCAGCTAAAAAGATATTTGGCGCCATCGCCTGGCCAGTTCATAGAATAACAAGACCTGTTCCACCCGCACTTTTATGAAGTTTTTGCTGCATGTTAGGGAGGAAAACTGACAGATTATAAAGCTTCACCAACAAACAGGCTTTCATTTTGTCACGGTGTCTAGCTAATAAAAACTTCAAACTCTGTTTTTTCCCCATAAAATGTAAATATTACATTACAATACTACAGTATTATAAATACAGAAATGTTTTCTTATGACCATATTACAGTCTAATCTTAGGGAAGCCTGCAGACTTAGCAGACCGTCACTGACACTGACCATGAAGAAGAAAACATTTACAGTAAACCATTAGATATTCATTTCTATAGCAAAAAATATTCATTGTTAATATTACTGCTAATATTATCATAGTCATGCTGAACAAAACTCCCAGTCCCTACATCAATTTGATATAGACAGACTTATTTGCCTACATCCAATGTGGTCTAAAGAATATAGTAGAATGTACAAACAAAGCCCTGAAAGTCAAGGGAGGCACTGTCATAAATCTGAGCAATTAATATCTATCCATCCATCCATCCATCCATCCATCCATCCATCCATCCATCCATCCATCCATCCATCCATCCATCCATCCATCCATCCATCCATCCATCCATCCATCCATCCATCCATCCATCTGTTCAACAGTCCGTCCATCAGTCCGTCCGTCCATCCTGTTGTCCGTCCATCCATTTTGCCTATCTCCAGCAGTCAATGGACGAGAGACAGGGTGCAATTATGGTAATATCTATAAATGGAAACATTAAAATAATAAGCACTCACATTCAATTAAGAAAGAAACACACACAACCATGACAAAAATAACTGATTTCTTTCCAAAAACTCCATTAGTGGAGGCACAAAACTGACAAACAATATCTGATCATGCCACACCCTCGCTTTATCTATTCTCTTTCAGTCAGAGGGGTGGGACACCAGCAGGTATCACTGGTCAGATTTATTCAATGAGTACAAAACTATGTGTTTTCTAAAGTTCAGATAAACTGAAGACTACTTAAACACTATGATTCTACGCCTGGGCTTGCCTCCATGTCATGCTGCACTGATGCAGTAATTCATGCCTCACTTTCAGTAACGTGACACAAAGATGTTCTTAACACAAAGTAACTATAATAAACTGCTTTGAATTCTGATAAGAATCTAACCTGGCCATCAGAGAATGAGCAGCATCCAAATAGTACAAATTAATTTATCAGACAAAGATAAAGTCAACATAAAAAGAGCCATGTGGGGGCCAACTCATGCAATGTTCTCAGACATTCAGATTGCAGCATTTGTCAGTAAGACAAACATGAGTTACAAATTTCTGACCAATCACACAAAAGTTGTCAGGGCCATTATAAGATAATTATCCATCGTTTCTAAGGGGCTGCAGTGGGTCTTGACCATTCCATATTACAAAACCTGCTGTGAGACTTTCTAATTGAAAACGCATGGATTCTGGTGATACTGCGCTCTGGCTCTGGATTCAACAGTAGCTTTTGACACCACTGATCAAGGCTGGCGCATGTGGGTGGAAATCTCTAGTGGTTTGTATGGTTGGTGTTGTATGGTTCAGTCATACATCACTGAGATGTTTTAGCGGTATTCTCTGTTATCTGAGCACAGACTCTGCTGCAGTATCCTGGGTGTACTACAGGGCTCTATTCTTGGATATGCATTTAAAACCCCCCACAAAATCTCTTTTTGAGATGATTGCCAGGTCGACTTACTCTTGAAAAGCAGGACATCTTGCCAGATGTTGAAGATCCTCACTCAACATCTGGCAAAATTTTCATGAAAATAAGTCAAAATTAATTTAGTGTGGGCCAAATTAATTTTTTGTCCATAGGGCACAAATCTAGAAGTAAAAATGAACCATCCCCTGAAAATGAACAGCCAAGTGAACTCAGGTGCAAAGTCTTGCCTTTAGCAATTGAGGCAGGAAAGCTTAGATCTGTTGTTATCTCACAGGAGAATGGAGACAGTGATCCATGCTTTTATCACATCTCAGCTTATTTACTGCAATAGATGTCTTGCAGGCTGCTGTTGCTCACTTAGAAATGTTTTTGACATGCACCAGACAGCAAGAGCACCATTATGCCATTTCTAGCTGAACTCCATTGATGTCCAGTTGATATTAGGGTTCTATTTAAAATTCTCTTATTTTTATTTCTTTATTTTTTTATAATTTGGCTCCATTTTTTCTCACTGAATTATTGCAGCCCAGTGTTCCAACTCACACTCCCAGGTCAGCAGGTCAGATGCTTTTAATAGTGCCTAAGGTTCACTGTAAACCCAGATGTTAGCCATAAAGGAGCTTTTGCAGTGGTGGCTCTGACACAAATTAGGAAAGATCCTTTATGACTTTAAATCATCTGTGTTGATTTTTAAGTTTATTTATTTTAATTTCTGTTATTTGAAATATTTTATTTTGCTTGATGTTCAGCACTATGATGAAACTTGTTAATTTAAGGTTCTTTATATATAAATTTGACTGCCAAAATTTGAAAAAAAATTGCTCTATATCTAAGAATACGAGAGACAATATGTTTCATGGAGCATGAAGGATGCAAGTAAACTCTAACTATCTTCAAATGATTTAAAAGTAAATGGAAGCAGCCATATGTTGCTGTTTATATGCAACGCATTCAATAATGTAGAAAAGGATGTTGGGAGAAAACTTCACAAAGCATAACAGCACAGACTCTGGCTGTAGAGCAGGATGATAGAGGGATGATGGTATGGAATTGTTTTGTTGCCCCTTGTGAAGTCAAACAGTTATTCAGTTGACCATCAACTCCTCTGGGTACCTGAAGTATTCTTGACTCAAATGGGAGGCCATCTATCTAAATAGTACAATGATCCCAAACAGCAAACCTGGCAGAAAAAGAAAAGAAAAAAGTTGTCACTCTGAGTCAGTCAACGCCAGATCTAATGGAAATGTTGACGTGAGACCGTCAGAGAAGAATCTCTACAAACCTAAGATGACTTAATCAATATTGCCTCACAATACGATTCACAGTCCTGATGCTCTCCATCAAGGGTTTTCTCTGGGGGACGATCTGTGTCTGGTGATCTACTTTTGATTTGGCCATATGTTTGGCCAGCGTTCATCACCCAGTTTCAGTTTATTTGCAATAATTTACTCAATCACTACAATTAACCATAAATCACAGAGAACTTTGATTTACAGTACCCGTTTTTTTCTTGTTTGAGTTTATGAATAACAGATTTTTATATTCCATCAGAGGGAGAATAGTTGAAGTAATCAGGTGCCTTCTGACTTGGTAGGAGAAAAAAGTTTGCATGGTAGTTTTCCTGCACCAACTTGGCATGGACAGAGCTGCGGTTGTCATGGAGAGCCCTCTTTGCTGAAGTGCCCTACAATGGAGACCACTGAAGGTTGTTTCTCTGTGTGTGGTGGAAAAGATAAATATTGATTGTTGTCCAGCTGTGGCCAGTGTAGGAAGAAAATTTATCTTTGCGTCATATTTATTTTCCAGAGGAATAGGAAGTTAGGAATACTGATGAAGGTGTGCAGAAATTTTTATCAGCTTGAAAAAACAAATAATATTAGTTACATTAATTTTGAAAACATGGTTAGATGTACTGACAACTGTCCCATACATATTTTCTAAAGATGGGAAAAAGTTTGGTTTTGTCAGTATAAATGGGATTTAAGTAAAATTAGACATAATGAAGCATCCAGCAGATGGTCTACTGAAAAAAAAAATCCTAAAACATTCTTTCTATAAAAACTTTGACGCGAATTTGATTTACAAAAGTTAAGACAAACAAAATGCTGGAGTCAGTTATCTTCAAGTTAGGTGGTCAAGAAGGATACTAAACTTCACTTCCCATAATTCCGTCAGGGTGAAGGCAGCTGGCTGTCTCGTGCGCTGCTGTTGCTTTGCAGTGAAGCAGAAGAAACTAAAATAGGCTCAAAAAACCTGAACGTCTCCAAACAACTCCGCGAGTTTAAACTGGTTTGGCACAGAACAGGTTTTACATTTGTGTCGCAGTTCAAATGCAGAAGGTTGAGAAAAAAATAAATAAGATTAAATTCACCTGCATTCACTTTGCTCAGTTTGAGTCTCCAATTATGCTCCAATTATGTTCATTTTGATTTACATTTCGGTTTTCTGAATTAAAACCCAGTATTTTGATAAGCAGCTTGATCATAGCAAACTGAAAGGAATTATTTGATCGGATATTTATTCTAACAATAAACAAAGCTTTTATTCGGCAAAAGCTACTTAAGTTCCCAGGTTACTGAACTCCGCCCTCCTTTCAGACCTCAAACGCACCATTCCTGAGTGTGTGTGCGCGCGCGCGCGCGCGTGCGTGTGTGTGTTTGTGTGTGTGGGGGATCCAGTAATTCCCTGCTGACTGGAAGCAGGCATGGGACCGCGGTCCGAGCGGTGACACAGCAGAGCTGAGGGCGGCTTGTTTCACTTCGTAGCGACATCAACGTTCCTGTCACCCCTCAACCCGCCATCATCCCCCTGCTGCGTGGCGGCGAGGGGCAGCGCTGGGCTGACTCCCGATCAGCCCGTGTTGGAGGATGGAGATAGAGAAGAGGACGAATGGGTTCGACTACCCGGAGAGAAACAACGCCA